GAGCAGAAGGACAGTGAGGAAGAGGAAGAGGAGGGGAGGCAGAAAGAGAAGCAGAAGAAAAACCAGAGAGAACTATGACAAGATCTGATGATGGTAACACCACAGGGCTGATGGCACAGGTTCATGGGAGCTCCTGATGGCCTAGACAGTCCAATACATATTATTTATTGTCTTCATCTGAGCTCAGAATCAATTCAGAGAAAGACACCAAAGCCTACCACATCAGAGCTCAAAATACTGATTTTACTGCTGATAAAATTATCTGGAGACAGTGGCATGGGAATGGGGCTGAATGAGCTGGATAGAATTCCACTGAAAGAGAATGACTTTCCTGAGCTGCAGGCCTCCTCTGCTAGATTCGCCATCCTCAGAAGCACAGTCTGGGATGTGTGGTCTCTGCAGGTTCTCAGGGGGCACCTACAGCAGCAATCACATTGGTCTCTGGTTGTGAAGAGAGAAAGGAGATAGGGAAGGGCTGGGAGCCAGGAGCCCTTCTCCTTGACAATCTCTTTGCAAGAAAGGAGGAAGAATGGCAGCTAATCCCCTGAGCCACAGCTCCTTCAAGGACTCTTCTTTGCAACTCTGAGGTCATGGAGTCGGTTGGCCACATTCTGATGGCATTGAACACGAGACACTCATAGGTCCAGAAAGACTCCCATGAGGCAGCTGAGAGTGTGCAGCAGGTGGGTGCATCCTCCCCATCTTTCCTCTCATATTCCTCCCAACCCAAGCCTCAGGATCACACTGCTATGGATTGAGATCAACAAACCTAAACGTGTTTTGGTTTGAGGTCTGGCAAACTTTGTAACTCCAAAGTATTCCACAAATGTTTTGTGTTCTACAAAACCAAAAAACACTGGCCCAGCACTTCCTCCATCCTACTTTTTAAGCCTATGTGTTTTTAAAGGAAATGTAATCCGTATGTATGGGGTACATTTATATGCAACTCACTGAGCCCTGCTCCTCTGCATGAGTCACTTAATGTCTAAAATTCATGGGGAGAAGTTTAGATTTATTAGAGTTCTGTTCACACAAGACAGGATCAGAGGAGGTGCTGGTTGGAAGGTGGTAAACTGGGTCCTGATGCTGACACAGAGCCACCAATTCCCTGAAAATTTACAAATAATTTCCTATTCCTCACCCATCAATCTTTCCCATCTGCAAAATGGCGCAAAGAATTCTCACCCTCATCAGATGCTGCAGGCAAGGTGAGAATTAAATCACTAGCTAGCTAGTGATTATCAGATAATTTTGACCTTATTAAAAAGAAAAAACCAGAAGATTCACACTTGCCCTAACAAGATTATGTCATTGTATTCTAGCATCCATTATCCAGCCTTCTTCTATCCCTCCTCGCCTTGTCCTGTCAAACCACTATTCTAATCTCTACTTCCGTGAAATCAATTGTTTTAGCTTCCACATGAGTGAGAATATGCAGCATTTGTCTATGTCTGGCTTATTTCAATGAACAAAGTCCTCTCAGGTTTAATGTAGCCTGCAGGTTTTGATGGGACATAATGAAGAATGTCCATGCTGTCAGAAAAAATAAAGTACTGAAATGGGCTAATGAGGATCCATAGTTCAGCTTTTCTAGAGTCCTCACAGACAAAAGCCCACCAGGCAGGACAGACAAGTAACTAGGTGCACTGAGCAGTAAGATACTGACCATGCTTCAGGACCAGATGAAGCATCAAAGTTCCTTTTAGCCCAGTGGAGAGACAGAGGACCTCAGCACTTCAGCTAAGGTGGCACCATAACTCCCTGGCCAGTGGCAAATTCTTCAAGGTGTAATGGCCTCATTCTCAAGGAGAAAGTGTGGCTTCAGTTCCCAGAACATAGGTCAAATGCTGGCCAGCACATCCTACTCTTCCGCATCTCTGTATACCCATCTGGTGCTGCTCAGACACATCCTTGAGCAAGGACAATGGTGCATAGCACAGGGACTCCTTGGTGTTGTACAAACACACCTAGCACCTGTGTGTCTTTTCACTGGCTGTTTCCCCCACTTGGAGTCAGGTACATGCTTGGCAACTTCCCTTACGTCATTCATGATGTCTTGTCAGAGAGCAAACCACTGACTGCCCTGAAAAAGTGACTTCAATTCCAGCTCTACCTCCTAACCTATTTATTCTTTGTGGACTTATCAATAATATATATATTTACTTCTTGACAGCCATGCAGTATGAACTAGAAATGCTCAAAGTACCAGGTGGCAATTTTTAAGAGCAAGGTACCCGTTAAGAGGAAAGCATTAGATGAGAAATCAAAACCAACCTTAGACAAAGAGGCCAAATTCTCTTTTTGTTTTGAAGGGCTCTAATGGAAAGAAAAAAGAAAACAACATCCTAAGTGCTAAGAAAATAAATAAATACTGGATGTTACTAGAGATACCAAAGGAATGGAAAAAGAAATAGTTGGGTAACTACTATCAGTAGGTTTGGCCCCTGGAGACAGATAGCTGTGCTACAGAGCAGAAATTTTTGACTTTGAGATGGACCTTTTGGAAAATCTGAAGGAAGATATAGGTTTGTCCCCAGAAAAATGTGTACCTGCTCATCCACACATCATTTTACCTACATCTAGGAGCTCACAGACCCCTGGAATCTGTCCATGAACTCCACACTAAAGTTCTTAAATGCCCTGGCCATGCATGCATGGTCCACAAATCATGAATATCTTGCTCCAAAGAATCACCATTAGGCAGGTATGAAGGTTTCTTTATGAAACCTTATCACTAGCAACATCTTCAGTAAGCTCAGAGCTTAGAACCTTGAGAATAAACCAACAGGAAATATCTCTAACCTGGAAATTGAATGTAGCCTAAGGGGGAGGAAAAAAGAGCCCATATGAAATGGAAGGAATAGTTATTCATTCTTTATTGGCTAAACATTGAAAACAAAGCCTAGGTCAGTGTCCTGGTGCATGTTTATAATATCAGCTACTTGGGAGCCTGAGGCAAGAGGATCACCAAGTTCAAGGCCAGCCTCAGCAACTTAGCAAGACCTTGACTAAAAATAAAATTTCTGTAAGGCCATGGATATAGTTCAGTGGTAGAACACTTGCGCAGCATACACAGACTTTGGGTTCAAGTCCCAGTAGTGAGAAAACTTTAAACAAAAGAAAGATCATTTTTGGACAGGAAAGCATTTGGTTAGGAATCCGTATGCTTGTGTTCTAGTGTCCTCTGCCATTAACTAACTTGACCTAGAATGCATTGCTCAGTGTTATTATCTGAAAACTGGAAGTTTAAGTAAATTTTACTTTACTCAATAGGTACGGCTTTAAGAATTCTGAGGCAAATAAAATTTTATAGAAATATGAATGTATTTTGAATCAACAGTATAGTAAAAGGAAGTGCTTTTATTAATCATTTTAAAGGAAATGATCAGCATGACTTATTTTTAGCATAAATCAGTTATAATATATTCATACACCATTTATTGACAAGGGCACATTCAAAGAAATGCTTCAACTGAGAGATTTAGTCATTGTGTAGACATTATAGACTGTCCTTAGACAGATGAGTTGGTACAGCCTACTACACACCTATGCAGTGTAGTACGCACCGTCGTATCTGTAGTCTGTCCTCCATAACACCATAATGTAGTACATGGCTGTGTAAGACACAGCATACTACGTAAAGTGGTTCTAAATATAAGGTTTTGGTTTATCCAGAAACTCTTGTTAAGAGAATACTAAAGGTAACTCCTGACAATCTGTCATCCAGATGTAAAAGAATGCCTGCAAATTATGAAAGGCACCTGACCATTAGAGTAAATAGTTGTTACAAAGCCTGTGCACTATATGAGATGTATGTGTTACATTTGCTGAATTGGTGTTGTCTGCATAAGACAAAATGCTCTAACTGAATAATAACCTTCAATATATCTGGCTTCCCTGGACATTTCAGTTCTCTCATAATTCCCCATGGATAACAGATTGAAGATGAGATAGGAAGAATTTAGATAAAAGAAAGAAGAGTTACCAACCAGAAAAACAGCACACCCTCTAAGGCCATTGACAGCAGGAGCAAATGATCCCTCAAACATCAGTAATTTGCCAGTGTTGCCTTAGGTAACAATAGCGTCATACTAATGTTGGTGCATCATCAAGAAAGGTGATGTTCATGTGCAAATACTGAATAGTTTCTCTGGTGTGAGAAACTGAAAATGTAAACGAGAACCAAAATGTATAATAGATAATGTGAAATAGGAAGAAAAGGTCCAAAGGGGAAGGGGGGAAATGTGAGAAAAGAGGAAAAAAATGGAAACAAAGTTTTTTTGTAAATAGGGAGAAGTGCAGAGGTGGAGGGGAAGGAAGGGGAATGGGGAAAAAACAAGAACCAAGATAGATCATGTACAGGTATAAATTCCCAATGATGAATGTGATAATAATGCATGCCTAATATGTACCAATAAACTTAATGAATTATAAAAAAGAAAAATGGTGTTCTAGAAACTCTCCCTACTAAAGCAGGAACACATACACATATTTTGGAACTACTTCCTAGGAGTAAAATGATTATTGCTATATATAAATTTTAGCTCACAAAGGTAATGATTTTCTGAAAAATTTTGTTTGCCCACAACTCGCTGCTTCTCAGTATCACTAAATACATGATATATCAAGATAACACTGCAGGTGCTGTAGCCACCTATAAATACTTATTAAAAGAATATCAATCTTTGATGATGATAAATTAACATATGATTTGTTTTCAGTGACTGAATCACCAAGTATGATACAGGTGGGGGTTCTGGAGGGAGTTAAAGTGGTGATTTAGATTGTGTTAACAAATAATTTGGAAGATGCACTTTTGGGAGGGCAGTTTTTCGCTTCTCCAATCAAGAGTCTGTTTCTCTTTGCCTGAATCAACACAGTGATGGAGCATGGAAGCTTTATCAAGAAATCAGGACCCAAAAGCCACCAATAGGGTGTGGAGAGACTAATGTCACATTAAAAAAAAAAAATCAGTAAGTCTCTTCCCCAGTTATTCTTACCTGTTTCTCCCAGAATCTCTGAAGCCTTTAGCAAAAGGGTTTCGGTCAATTTTTAATCTGGTGATCTGGAAACAAACAAATAAATATGAATTGCTTTTATATGAACAGATTTCTTTTCGCTTGACTCCTAGAAAATTAACACCAATTGCTCTGCTAATAATAGCTATGGTTTTTGTTTAGTTTCCTTTTAGTTTGAGATTTAAATTGAAGCTTGATATAGGACTTAGGCCTGGCACACAGATGTGGGACTTCTTTCAAAACCAAGGTTCGCCCCCATATGTGACTGTAAACTCCCTTCTGCTCACCTTCCTTGGCCCAGAGGGGTGATAAATCATTTTTCTAGACAGACACTGAAATGGAAAATTGGGCAGTGGTCAGGTCCAGGTTGAGTGGCACATGGAAGGCACTTTGAGAGTGCTTGCTGAATGGATGGTGAAAAAGTGACTGAATAATGCACGAATGGATCCAATCGATTCAGTGAGGTGGAATCAGACCACGAGACAGTCTGCCTCAGCCTGAAACATTCAAAAATTAACTACATTTTCCTATTCCACTTAAGTTGTGCCTTTCTTCTCAACAGGAATTGTTCTGTTAGTAGCCTGAAATGCTCAAGTGAATAACACAAAGGGTGGCTAGACTTTTTCCAAGTTTTTGCCCAAAGAAAAAAATCTACAAATGTGAGACTGAGCAGGGGAGGATACAGCACATCTCATCCAGTCTCCAAGGCTCACAAACAAATCAGAAGAAACACCGAGGCAGCTTCTTAGGCTAACCATGCCTGGTGAATCCACTTGTATCTCCCAGGGAGGGCAGGTCCTTAGGGGCATTTGGTTTTTCCTCCTCAGTTTAACCCCTCAGAGTGTCAGTTTCCCTCCACGGGATCCTGTCTTAGTCCCAGAAACCCGGTCATGGTTGTGTATGTTACCCTCATGCCTCTGTGCTAGAACAAGCCTGACCAACATGTTCCATATGCACCCTAGTGTTTCCGCGTTCAGTCTTGGTCATGGGAGGCGTTTTGATACCTTGTGTCTGAACCAGATGTTAATGAGTCACCACATTCAAGCAACAGAAACTCAAGGATGGAGGCTAGGAAGCTGAGGAAAGAAAGACACTCTTGATGTGAGATAATTCTAGAAATAAGGAAAGCTCATTATTAAGACTTTATATTTGTGAAAGCCGCAGAACATATCTCTAAGCTAACTAAAGTTGTTCTCCATGCTTCAAATATGTCTCAGTACCTCTCCCATCTCACTCTGTCAGAATGGAATTTCCCAAAGCCACAGCCATTAAAGGTCTTTAAAATGCAATGTGAGATTTTGACAAACAGGCTCTGACTTGAAAGAATCACACTGGCTTCAAGGTTATTTTTCTCCTGAAACATTCCTTGCCTCTAGAATGGTACACTAATAATGTAGCACTAATAATGTAGCAAAAACAATTTTACATCTGTTTTATAGACCAGAGCAGGAGCCTGAAGGTTTAGCTTTCTAAAATCCAGTGTCTGCCATGCGAATACTGTATTGAATTTAAAGAGTCTCACTGCTTTTCTGTGTTTGACTTAAAATCAGTTCTTTCTTCCTCCATAATCCACAGCAATAAACCACACACCATATTTTCTTTTCAAGTTGGGGTTATAATATTTTATTTTCTCTTTCAAGTTGGCTTATCCTGTCCAGCTCATTTATGATAGAGGTTTCTGATATATGATTGTGCTGCCGTGTTTGGGAGGCCTTCGCAGAACCCTGTAAATATAACGACACGCAAGTTCAGGGGCCTGGGCAAAATGGTTGAAAATCTAATTCCCTCAGCTCATTGGAGCCCAGACCAAGAGATCTGCATGGAAATTTAATAGACAAATGTCATCAAATGTTAGGAAAAATAACACACCTACACTTGTTTCAAAACTTGTAATGTGAGATTTAGAGAGCTTTATGAAGAACGTGGTTGTGCTTGTATTTATCAAGTATCTTTTGTGTGCTAATATACACAGAATCGTTATGTGGTGGTACGTGTGTATATGTATGAATGCCATTCCTTTCCCCAAAGAAGCTCATAATCAAGAAGAAAAAAGCAGGCGTGTACCCTAATAGTGACACTCTCCAACAGAAGGGAATAAGGTTTATAACAAAGCCAAAGTTCCCTGAGAACTTAGAGGAAGGGACACCTACTCCAAATTGACGGGCTCTGAGATTTCACATTAGACGTAGTAGATGAGCCAGCCTTGAAGAATGTGTCACATTTGAATGCAAAATGCAAGACGAGGAACAAGAGAAAAAGAAAGTATATCATAAGAAAGGCACTATTGGAGGGCTGGGGATTTAGCTCAGTGGTGCCGCTGCCTGCCTCCCAAGCAGAAGGTCCCGAGTTCAATTCTTGGTATCAAAAAAAAAAAAAAAAAGGCACTATTGGAGCTAAAGCATCAAAGTAGGAAGGGATGACACCGAAACACTAGGGAGTCCAATTTGACCAGAGTGTAGGCTAGGGGAAGGGAAGTAGTGAGAAGGGAAGCTGCAGAGGCTAGATTCAGGACACATCGTGGAGAGGGATAACCACTTTGCTCAGGCATTTAGATGACTCAAGAGACAGAAGAGAGCAATTTTAGTGATAAAACAAATAATCATCCCAGTTCATTCTTGCACTGTAAATTTTGGTTTTGTGTACAAATACAAAGGGAATTAGAAACAGTATTTTGGAGAAATAAACCAATATGTTTTTAACTTCAGTGGTTCCCATATCAAGCAAGAGGCAGCCTGATTGCCTCAGATCTGGTGTCTCTTACAGTACAGAAAGGGGTGTGAATGACAGAGTGCCCAAAGGCTTGCTCTCTTATGGATGTAATAGAAGAAGAATGCTCAAAGAGTAGAAGAGGAAGTTGAAAGCCCTCCCCTTTCCATGCCCTAATGCAGTATGGCAAAAGAGAAGACAAACAAATAGGAAAGCAAGCAATTAGACTTCGTGTGCCTTAGCTCTCCCATTCAAACTAAAGTCCAGGTGATACGGTGGGCAGACACAGAGGACACCAGCGAGGTGATCCCCATACATACATGGGAGAGCTGGCCCTGATATGGTGGGTGGCTGACACAGACACAGATGTGCTTCAGCCTTGTCAGGAGCCAAACAAAAGACCTAGGTGAGACCCAGGAAGAGATGAAGTCAGCAAGAAAGACCCTCAAGGCCCTGATTGAGGGAAGAAAACAAAGTTCACTTCCAGCAGTGTCTAACCAGGAGGGTTTCTCAGCACCAGGAACCCAAGGACAGACCAGACAAGACACCTTACAGCAGGGACTAGTGAGGCCAGAAAACAACACAGGGACCTATAAGCAACCAACTTGAAGATACAGAATTCTCTCACCTCTACCCCTGCACATGCAGCATATAAGTAGAAGCCATGGGGTACAGCAGGCAAGGAGTAATAAACAAAACTAAACACCCGCAATAGATTGTATTACATAAAGGAAACTGAAAAGGTATAATTTCCCCCTATCCTACCTCAATACAAGGGCCAAGGAGTTTTCAGGAAATCCAGTTAAAGAAAACCATACACACACACACGGAGAGAGCGAGAGAGGGAGAGAAACAGTGAGAGAGAGAGAGAGAGAGAGAGAGAAACAGTGAGTGTTTTACCCAATTTTTAAACTTATTAGAGTGAAGGACACATTGCCATTTATCCTCCTCACAATACTTGCCCTAGTTTCAAACACACATCCAGTCATTCTTGCCACTTTCTGAAGCAGCTCTGGAAGTCGTTTCTCATGAGTGTGTTTTGTTACACTGTCATGGTCCCTCCATGTCCTAAATCAATTCAAAACATTTACCTTTCATGGTCATTTTGACTTTGAGGAAGACCCAAAAGCCTTATGGTGCCAAATCCAGTCAATAAGGTGGATAAGGACACAGTGTAATGTTTTTATGGGCCCAAATTTCCATTGAATGCTACTCAGCACTGACATTCACCATATTTTTGTATCACACCTCATAAAGACATTCATAAAAGAGGACTTCCAGAACTGTTTCAGAAAGTGGCAAAAATGACACTGTATTTTTAATCATCAGAGAGAGAATATTTGCGCAGTTGATTTTCACATTTATTCCACAATTATGTTTAGCAGTAAGACCAAAGGATCTCCACCTTCTTGACCTTAGACCAGTTCACTGTCATCTATTCTAAACTATTCTAAATAGCCTTAGAACTGATCTCCTTTCTCCTGCTCCCTAATTCAGTTTCTTCTCTACACAGCAGCCTAGGTAATCTCTGTTAACACATATCTGGATCATGACATTCTCTTCAGTGGCTACCACTGTGCAGAAACTCCACCAAGCTCCTGCAGGGCCAGCACACCCTGACTCTGGTACACTCTCCCCACCCACCACACTCCCCTGCCCTGGTCCCCAGGCTCCAGCCAAACCAGGCTGCTCTCAGTGCTGGAGTGTGCCAGGCTCTTCCCACTCATTTTACTGCTACACTACTTTTCAAAAGCTGACTCCTCTCAAGCCTCAGTCTAAATGTCATGTCCCAAGAGACAACCTTCTTTACCACAAAACAGAGTATCATTTCTAGTCCCTTTGATGTACCCTCTTTAATTCCATCTTTACTCTTAACTAGTGATCATATATTTATCATTTATTTATTGTCTGTCCCCCCCCCCGGACTACAGGTAGAGACCATATCTATTTTATATTCCAATTTATTAAGCAGGAACTGCTATGATGTAGTATTGGCATTCAATAGATATTTGTTCAATAAATGAATTAGGGAATTAATGACTATGTGGGAACCAGGGATCACCCGTCCCAAAGCCAAGACAAGATTTAGAGATTCCAGATAAAAATCTGTCTTGATACTATTACAGGCATTACAGTCAAAAATCTTAAATGACCTTCCAGTCAGAACAAGGTCTTCTGGTAACTTCCTGTGCACTTAAAGTTATGCTGCACCAGTCATGTTCAAACTTGGTCCAGTGATGATGAGAAGACATGGGAAATACACAGGTTGTGAAAGCATTTTTCTTCACTGATTGCATTCCCATAACTTTAAATGTGATTTGTTTTGTCTGAGTTACTGAAG